GATGAGCTACACAGTTATAGTTCACTTTCAGTAATTCCAGCAAAGAATAGACATGCTTTCAAATCCAGCAGTTTAAGTCAAATCAATTTTATACAGTTCAAGTTCATGTAATCCGGATATAAAATCTTTCAGAGAATTTCACAGCAATAACAGATAGCAACTAAGTGCAACAACAAATGAAAAGCAAGTACAGCCTCTCAGGGCAACAATCACTCAACTCGTCACAACAAATCAACCACTCGGCTCTCAGCCCTCAGCACTCACACTCAATGGGTACCCGCGCTTACTAGGGGTGTACAAACTCCGGAGGGGCTCCGACAGTTCAAGCGGTATAATCCACATGGACAACTCGCGTGCTATAGTAACAATATCTGAATCCGCACGGACAACTCACGTGCTATAGTATAATATAAGAATTTGCACGGATAACTCACGTGTTACACAGACAACTCATATGATATAGTATAATATCTCATAATCAGGCCCTCGGCCTCACTCAGTCATAAATCTCTCCAGTCTCTCGGGCTCTCAATAATCATGAAATCGGCCCAAACAACAATGATATGATGCATCAATAATGAACAATAGAGACCTAGATAAAATAACAAGTAAACTATGACTGAGTACAAAACAACAATTTAGCAGATAATTCAATATGTACACGACCTCTGTGGGTCCCTACAGTGCCAATATATAATCTAAACATGATTTCTAACATGATTTATACTCAAATTTCTACAACACATAGAGAGCATATAGCTAACAACAAGTTATTCAACTTTACAGTTTCACGGAACGGACCAATTCACAATCCCCTCGGTGCACGCCCACACGCCCGTCACCTAGCATGTACGTCACCTCCAAAATAATCGCATGACATAAAAATTCGGGGTTTCATACCCTCAGTACCAGATTTATAACTATTACTTACCTCAAGCCGTATAATTCTTTATTCTGCAATGTCTTTTCCTCGTGAATTGGCCTCCAAACGCCTTGAATCTAGCCACAAATAATTTGATTCAGTCAATAAAATTTATTAAAATTAATTCCTTGAGAAAATACTAATTTTCCAACAAAGCCCGAAATTTAGCTCAAAATTTGCCCGTGGGGCCCACGTCTCAGAACCCGACAAAAGTTATAAAATCCGAAAGCCCATTCAACCACGAGTCTAACCATACCAATTTTTATCAAAATCCAATCTCAACTCGACCCTCAAATCTTCGATTTAAACCAAGAGGGTTTTCTAAATTTTCCAAATTAATTCACCCAGTAAATAATAAAAATAGTCATAGATTCGGGTAATTTAACCAATATTGAGTTAAGAACACTTACCCCGTTGTTTCCTCTGAAACTCTCCCAAAAAGCGCTTCTTCCCGAGCTCCAATCCGTCAAAAATGAAAAAATTTCAGAACTTAAACTCTCTGCCAAGTCATTTGCTCTACGCGATCACGAACAATCACACATGATCGCGAAGAACAGTTTTCCACTGCCCAGGTTTAACCTTACGCGATCGCGAACAATCACACGCAATCGTGATGCACAAGATTCCTTCTCTACACGATCGCATCCCTCTTCACGCGATCGCATAGAACAAACGCGTGGCCCAGCTTCCTCTCAAGTTTTCCCTACGCGATCACGGCCTCTTCCACGCGTTCACGTAGCACAGACTGGCCCAACTTACGCGATCGCGGTTGACCTCACGCGATCGCGAAGAACAAAATCAACACTGCCTCAACTAAGCCTACGCGATCGCATCTCAATCTTCGCGAACGCGAAGAAGGTCTGAAACACTAGCAAACAGCAGCTACCAGCAGTGCCAAAATGAAGGAAAATAATCCGAATACCATCCGAAACACGCCCGAGCCCCTCAGGACCCCAGCCAAATATACTAACAAGTCCTAAAATATCATACGAACTTAGTCGAATTTTCAACTCACATCCAACAACACTAAAAACACAAATCACACATAGATTCAAGCCTAATGAACTTTGAAACTTTCAATTTCTACAAATGACGTCGGAACCTATCAAATCGCGTCCGATTGACCTCAAATTTTGTATACAAGGCATAAATGACATAACAGAGGTATTTCAATTTTTAGAATCGGATTCCGACCCCGATATCAAAAGGTCAGCCCCCGGTCAAACTTCCCGGGAAATTCAATTTTTGCCATTTCAAGAATAATTCTTCTACCGACCTCCAAATAATTTTTCGGACACGCTCCTAAGTCCAAAAGCACCATACTGAGCTATTGGAATCATCAAAACTCTATTTCGGGGTCGTTTACACATAAGTCAACATCCTGTCAACTATTTCAACTTAAGCTTCCAACATGAAATTCATTCTTCCAAGCTAACTCCAAAATACCTTAAAACCAAAATTGACAATTCACACAAGTCATAATACCCGTAGGAAGTTATTCAAGACTTCAAATAGTTGAAAGGAGCGTAAATGCTCAAAACGACCGGACAGGTCGTTACACACAAATAATTCGATGCAGTCGATAACATTTATTGGAATTAATTCCATAAGAAAATACTAATTTTCCAACAAAATTCGAAATTTAGCTCAAAAATCGCCTGTGGGGCCCACATCTCGGAATCTGACAAAACTCACAAAATCCAATAACTCATTCAATTACGAGTCCAACCATACTAGTTCCACTCAAATCCGACTTCGGATCGACATTCAAATCCCAAAAATTTATTTTTTGAAATTTCTACAATTTTCCCCAAATTTTCATCTCAAAATACTAATTGAATGATGAAAACAATGATATATTCATGTATGTTAATCAAATCTGAGTTAGAATCACTTACCCCGATGAATTTCTTGAAAAACCCACGAACAATCGTCACAAACCGAGCTCTCTAGGTCTCAAAAATGAAATAATACCCTAGGCCTCGGTTATATAGTACACCCTCTGACCTCCCAATGTGCGGTCCGCATTGCGATCGTACATTTCCAAGTTCTACGGTCGCACAAAAATTGTGCGGCCGTACTTCACAGCCTCTCCACTACCAGGCTTTGGTAAATTGGCCATAACTTTCTCTACAGATGTACAAATGATGATATATTTATCTTTCTGGAAATTAGAAACGAAGGGCTACAACTTTTATTTTTAAATCATCTCCAAATTCCTTGTGGATCAAAAGATATAAGCTTCCGAAATCGGACCAGTGAACCTGCAGAACACCCTGAAGTGCGGCCGCGGACAAAATTGTGCGGTCCGCATTTTTCCTCTGCGGTCCATATATTTTCATCTACTGCAGCACATTTTCATCTGCTACAACACTCAAAAATGTGCCTCAGCACATAAAATTGTGTGGTCCGTATTTCCAACGTTCCAGAACAACATCAGAGTACCGAAATGCTCGGACTCGCTCAAAACTCACCCGAGGCCCCCGAGACCTCAATCAAAATACACCAACAAATCGTAAAACATCATACAAACTTAGTCGAACCCTCAAATCACCTCAAACAATGCTAAAACCAAGAATCATACCCCAATTCAAGCCTAATGAAAAACTAATAATTTTCAACTTCTACCTTCAATGCCGAAACCTATCAAATCAAGTCCGATTAACCTCAAATTTTGTACACAAGTCATAAATGACATAATGGAGGTATTCCAATTTTCAGAATCGGATTCCTGCCCCGATATCAAAAAGTCAACTCCCCGGTCAAACTTCCAAACTTAACTTTCTATTTTAGCCATTTCAAGCCTAATTTAGCTACGGGCTTCCAAATAATTTTTCGGACACACTCCTAAGTCCAAAATTACCATACGGAGCTATTGAAACCATCAAAACTTCATTCTGGAGTCGTCTGCATAAAAAGTCAAATCGGTCCACTCCTTTTATTTAAGCTTCTAAACAAGGATTGTTCTTTCAATTAAATCCCGAATCATCCGAAAACCAAAGCCGACAATTCACACAAGTCATAGTACACATTATGAAGCTGCTCAAGGCTTCAAATTGTCTAAAGGAGCGTATATGTTCAAAACGATAAGTCGGGTCGTTATAATAAACTACACACCATCTGGCAACCAAAAGAACCACTCAATCTCATCGATTTGGGTTACTATTACTATCTTATCAAATTCACGGTTCAAGAAACTTTCCAAAAAGTTCTGCAAAAATGGCCTTGGTTCATCGGTTTACGATATCTATCGATTCGTCACTCGTAGCCCAAATTTAACCCATCTCAAGCCCATACTCCTTTTTCCACCATTTGGATCCGTTTACCACAACTTCCTACGGAATACTGCGACCTCCAAACTTTACAAAAAATTGGAAACTTTTTTGGTCAACTTCTTAAAATTGATGCCTACACCATGCAAACCACTCGAGGACATTATACTCGTTTATGCATTCTAGAGCCTCTTGATAAGACTCTACCCATTGGAATCTTAATTGTCACTCATCTACAACCCATTCACTACGAAGAAATGACCCCACTATGCAAGCTCTGCGACTGCCTAGGACACATTTTACACTCTTGCCCGTCAAAACTCTCAATTGGACCCTCCAACAATGCTAAAGCCCAACCTCATGAACCAATCGTGACCAATGATGACAAAAGCCTATGGCATACAGTCACTTTTCCAAAACAATACTAGAACTACTCCACAACGTACCCAACATCCCACCGAACCAAACACACACATACCCCCCACTTCCCCTATAATTACCCAAAAACTTGCCTCTCAAGCCACCTTTATTACCCACAGTATTCCACTTTTCAATTGTTTCTTTTTTCCACCCCTGACCCTACCATTGATAATAATCATTATTCTCATATTCCTATTTAATATGTTCCCCCTCCTTATGACCACACAAGTTCTCATATGGATTTACAACAAATTATCCCACCCTACCATGTTTCATCTGACAAGACCCCACCCCCACCATAGCAATTGCATCACCTTTTTCATCAAATATAAGTATGCATCAAACCTCTTTCACACCAACATGTCTTCCCTATTTCTTCTACTACCCACATTACTACGAAAACCAAGGCTATTTCTCCAAATCATTTCTTAAATACGGCTGCTACTACTCATCATAAAAAACAAGACCAAACCTACTACAACACCCAAAACCCTACTACCTCTACTTCAACAGCATCATCCATACCCAACCCTCTTTCACAATATCACCACGCCTCCAACACAGTCAACCAGATCCATATCCTTATGCCCTCATCTACTAACACCACACCACATTACATCATACCCTACCCAATTACGATCACCCACTCTGATAAACTTACTCCGTCTGCTACAGGTACTCAAGTGCCATCGGAACTCATGAACGCTCAACATTTTTCGGTCACCTTGTCACCGCCAATGCAAGGTAATGACTCATCCATAGCTATAAAACCCAATAATCCCATCCATACATCACCACATCTGCTATCTTCTTCACCCAACACTCCTCTTTCTACTAACAATGCATCGCCACTACCCTCCAAGACATTGCCACCACAAGAACAGGAACCATGTACCTCACATCCAGATCAACAACTACCACCTTTCACCTCCACACTTTCACTACCTCTCTCACAGCCCCTCCTACTGGGTGCCCCAATATCACCGCCACCCCCTTTCAACCTTGTACCACTACCACCACCAGAACATCCTCTAGTGCACCTGCCGTTAAACCTTCTCTTATTCCAGCAACAAGTCACGACAATACTAGACCACAACGACCTACTGATGACGTTTATCTAGGATGGACTACCAGACATCCATCAGCAGGATCATGCTATGCAAATCCTCCATCTATAGGATGTTGCCGCTTTGGAACTCAACAACCAACTTACTTAAGCTCAGCAATATTTCCTCCACTTCAACTACTGCCGCCAACTTTGAATATACCCCCACTTCCATAATTCTAGCCCTATTACAATGGCCAGCCTCAACACGTATTCCTAGAAATGATGCACCACGCTCCACCATAGCTGGACATCCCTCCGCGACCACTGACTCTGCCTCCATCACCACCATTAGCCACGCCATCATCGGACATTGAAGACGAAGATCAGAACCATCAGTCTCTACATTACACATTTATGGAGAGACTGAATCTGAACAACCTCTCACTCTTTCCATGCAAGAAAACATCGAAAGAAGGTACTTGATTTTGGATCCTCCAATGTTGGAGATGACCTTCTTGAATATCCACCTCGACCCTTACTCTGTGGACCAGAAGTATGTCATCTTCTTGATACCAACACTGCGTCCACCACCACTACCTCAGGAAGAGATGGCAAACAACCATCAACTCATAATGAATTTGGCAATGGCATTAGTACTGGGAGGGAGCTCATCCCCTACGACAAATAGATCTATGAAGATCATGTTGTGGTGGAGCCGTGGCGCCAACTACCTAGATTTTAGGCGTAACTTGCATTTTTTGTTTAATTGGAATAACCCTACTATTCTCTGTCTCATGGAGACTAGGATAGAGGACCATACCTCTCTCCTCAATGAGTTTAACTTCACTGATCGTATCCAAGTTTTCGCTCAAGGATACTCTAGTGGTATTGTCATGCTCTGGCGCGCACATGACCTCATTGTTGATCCAATAGCAATTACTGCTCAGGAGCTTCATGCTTCTGTCCAGGTATCCCCTACTATACCTATTTGGTATATCTCATTAATAGATGCTAGCACATCATACCACAATCGCCAAACACTATGGCACAACATACAACAGTTTGCACACGCTCATACAAATGCATGGACATTATGTGGTGATTTTAACGAAGTTTGTAATACTAATGAAAAATTTGGGGGAAATCCTATTAACACTAATCGCTCTGAAGCTCTTAATATGTGCTTACACAATGCTAACCTGATTGACCTAGGCTTTCACTAGCTCGCGTTTTACTTGGAGTAATAAACTAATGACTCATAATAAACTAAATGTTCCCGCACTCCAATGTTCTTCATTTACCTCGTACACATTCCGATCATTGCCCCTACTTTTCGGTCTTCATAAAGCGACTACTAGACCTCCTCCTACATTCAAATTTGAAATCATATGGCTCACTCATCCTGAATTCCAATCTGTGATCGCCACTCACTGGCATCACACCTCTACATATTCTCAAGGCATACATGATTTTGCTGATCATGTTCAACACTAGAATAAACATACCTTTGGTAATATTTTCTACAAGAAGAAAATCCTCATTGCTCGCATACATAGTTTACAAAAAATAGATCCCACCAGGCAAAATAGCTTTCATTATAACCTAGAAAACTGCCTTCATATAGATTTCCAAACTACACTAAGACATGAGGAGGAATTCTGGAAACTAAAGTCATGTATTAAATGGCTAAATGACGGTGATGCCAATACCAAATATTTTCACTTGTCTACAACATAAAGAAGATGATGCAACTGTATTATCAATCTACATGACCACGTAGGGAATTGGACATTCGACACTTCCATAATCAAAACTACTATACTACACCACTTCACTGATCTATATACCACTGAATTACTTTTATGTTACCCTGAATACTTTACCCCATCCACTATCTCCATTTCCCTTACAAATCAACAACAACTATCTCGCTCACTTACACTTTCTAAAATACATTCCTCCATTTGCTCCTTTAAACCTTTCAAAGCCCAAGGCCCTGATGGCATACATCCTGTTTTCTTCCAACGCTTTTGGAACCTTATTCAACATGCTATCATCCAAACCTGCATGGATGCTTTCAACAATTGCTCCATCCCCCCTTCACCTCAACCAAACTTTTCTCACCTTAGTCCCAAAGATTAAGCATCCTTCCAATATTTCCCATTACCACCCGATTGGACTTTGTAATACGATCTACAAATTAATCACTAAAATACTGGTTAATAAAATTCAGCCCTTTCTGCCAACAATAATACACCTCACTCAATGCAGTTTCATTCCTGAAAGATAGGCTGTAGATAATGCCATAATAGTACAAGAGGCAATTCATTCCTTCCGTAAAACAAAGGATCGCTTTGGCAAAATGATGCTAAGATTAGATCTAAAAAAAGCGTTTGACCGATTAGAATGGTCATTTATTTCGTACTCTCTCCAAAAATTAAATTTTCCTACCCCTATTATTAACCTTATTATGTCTTGTGTTACTACATTGTCTATCTCTATCCTAGTCAATGGGACACCCACACGCTTTTTCCAACCTTCTCGTGGTATCCGTCAAGGAGACCCCTTATCATCCTACTTATTCATTATTTGTATGGAAACTCTTTCTCAATTGATTGATGAAGCTACACAACTGAAAAATGGACTACTATAAGGATTTTCCGACAAGGACCAACTCTTTCTCATCTCATTTTTTATGACGATCTTATTCTCTTTGCTAAAGCAGACTTACAAAACACTCATGATATCACTATCATATTTCATCACCTTTCTAACCAATCTGGCCAACGTATCAATTTTTCAAAATCCAAACTCGTATTTTCAAAAAATGTATCGTAACACACAAATTAATTTAAGTTGTACATTAAATATTCATACAACATCTAATTTCAGTAAATATCTAAGTTTTCCTATGCCTAATTTCTACCCCGAAGTCAGCTGATTATCAGTATATTCAGGATCGCATGAATAATCATCTTCAAGGTTAGAAAATAAAATTTCTTTCGCTAAGTGGCAGGGCTACCCTCATCATATCTGTACTTAACTCCATACCCACTTATGCCATGCAAACTAACATACTCCCACACAAATTCCTTCATCATATTGATCGTATCAAACGTCATTTTTTTTGGGGTTCCACTGCATCCCACACCAAATTACACCTAACTAATTGGGACCTCGTTACTACACCTAAGTACCATGGTGGATTAGGGATTCAAAAATTACTCCTAAGAATATGACTATGTTATTCAGCGTAACATGGCGCTTCACCCAACACCCATCAACTTTATGGGCCATGATCCTTCGAGGTAAATATTATCACCATCGTAGTTCACACTATCACTGCATCTCTTTTACTTCAAAACCATAAGATTCATACATTTGAAGAGTATCACCAAAATAGCTCATATATGCCATCAAGGCACTGTATGAAATATAGGTAATGGCCAAATCATTAGTCTTTGGTACGATCAATGGATCTCCCCCAACTTCTCACTTTGTCAACTAATTCAAGGACCCCAACTCTCCCATGAATCTACATTGCTGCTTAGCCATATCATCCTTCCTTCAACCTATAATTTATCAACGTTATCCTTTGAACTCCCTACCTCTATCTCTCTCCTTATCCATAACACATATGTGCCCTCTTCTTCTACTCATATGAATTTAATACACTGGCAACCAACCTCTAATGACTTGTTCTCTACTGCCTCCGCCTATCGACCGATTCTAGAATATACCTACACTACCCAAAATTAAGCATTTTCTCTGACTTCTCCTCCATGGTAAGTTACCCACTGCTGCTCTTCTAAACTCTCGTCATATTCTTCCTCGCCCTGCATGCTCCGTTTGTGGCCATGCTTGGGAAGATGCTTCACATATATTTACCACTTGTTTACCCGCTATCCACATTTGGCAATACTTTGCTATTTTCGTCCCCAACAACAACCCAATACATGGCTTCAACGCATATGCACTGATACTGATGCTACTTACATACATCACCGTATTGCTATTCCTTTCCCGATTCTCGTCCCTTTTATCGTTTGGCATATTTGGCTGACACATAATCATAATCTTTTTAATCGCTCAGCTTTACCTGTATTTTATCATGCGATTCTCACTCATGCTATTGAGTTTAACTGATTAGCCACTACTTCACAACAGCCTAAACCCACTACAATCATTCATGTTGGTTGGTCTCCTCCCCTTACTAGGTATAAACTTAATATTGATGGCGCTTTTGACAATCACTCAAAATATGGAGGAGCTGGTGGTGTTGTCAAAGACTCTTCTGGCAACTGGATTATGGGCTTCTCTAAGTCTTTGTATCTCACTAATGTCCTACAAACTGAATTATTAGCTATCCACTTTGGCTTATAGCTTGTCATTGAACAGAATCTCACACCACTTGCTGTGGAGACTGACTCACAGGTGTTAGTCACCCTTCTATCGACGACCAGTTCTAAATACTCACATTTATTTGATGAATGCAGGCTGATGCTCCGTAATCCACAAATCCATGAGATCCAACACACATTTCGGGAGGGGAATGGAGTTGAGGGTCAATTGGCATGTTTTGGCAAGCAAAGGGCTTCTGAACTACATCATGATGCTATGATTTTTGAAACACCCCCCACTTTTATATTGTCTCGCTTAATGTTTGACTTAACGGGAACTATAATCTCGCGTTCAGTATCCTCTATGTACTAGTACTTTTCGTTTTTAATATATCAATGCGTGTTATGACAAAAAAAATGATGGTGAGTAATTTGGAAATCTAGCTCGAATAAGCGCAAAATGAAAGAAGAAGAAGAAGAAGAAGAAGTAATAGACAAGGCAAAATAATACTACTGCTTAATTAGGAGTAAAAAAGATCGAAAAGGAGGAGGAGGAAACAGAAGGAAACAGAAGTAGAAAATCGTCGGTGAAATTAAAATTCACCAAGAACACATGTAAGTCAATTATTTATGAGATGTTGCAGATTGAAATTAATGCACCGATGACGTCAATTAATATATACAAAGTTAATAGCAGGAATATTACGAAAATGATAGTATAACGTTTACTCTAGCAGGACATAATGATTTATCACAATCATCACATGTTAGGATTTGTTATTTTTCGTTTTTGTCATATCGATGATATAACAAAATAAAAGTTCAATCAAGCTATGTCAATATTAGACAGACAACAAATCCGTGTGGAGTGCAGCTGGGTTAATAGTTATATTTACACCGACCCAATAATACTACATATTTTCAAATATATTCTTATTACTAAATCATAATAGTAATTTAATGCATATTCTCATATAAATTTATGACTTAATCGATCATAATAAATTAGTCTGGTTTAACATAAGCATCAGATGTACCATGGTTTTTTTAATTCAATAATTGGTCACTCTTTCTATGTGAGAAGTGTGAACCGTGAATATAAAATGCGTCTCTGCTTGTGTGAACTGTGAATAATGAGTGCAAATTAAAGGACGTGTCTCATATTATAAAAATTGGGATACACGTTTTCTTCTTCTCTTCTTCCCCAGAAGACTGGAACGAACCTCAACAAGATATATATAAGCATTTTTATTAGTACCCAGTGACACACTACATCTCTCAAAATAGCAATATAGACAGGAAATTAGGGAGAAATGGGAAACTGCTGCCTAAAGCCTGTAGATAATCTTTCTACCACTATTAAGCTTTCTAACCCTCCTGCAGGTATGTACCATTATTTTGGTTTTGCAATTCATCAGATTCTATCAAAACAATTCATATTTCCAATTGGATTTATCTATGTCCATTAATGCCAATGCAAATGATTTTTTTACAAAATCGGTGTAATTTAACTTGTTGTAGAACATTCTTGTCTTATTTCAGGTTACTAGCTAGTTCTATTGATTATGACTAATTATCTTTATTACCTTTAAAATACTACCGAGTATAGCGGAATAGACTCTTCATTCTTAACCAAATATCTTGAATTCGGTATTGGAAGCTCTTCCCTTTTAGTGAGCCGCGAATTCAAATTAGTCAATCTAATAGATTGTTGCTGCCCAGTAGTTAGGAAACATATGAACTTTAGTGATATGATAGTGTAAAAACAATTCATATAGAACTTTTTTGTGTATATTTTCAGCCCTTGATTTAAATTTTATTATGCCAGCATCCAAGAAACCTAGTACTTCTCTCATCAATAACGCCAAGGTGGTTCATGCCGAGGGAACCACGAACGGTGGCGGCGGCGGTGGTGCTGGAAAAGAGGAAGTGGCAACAAGTGGGAAAATTATAACACCCAATTTGAAAATGTACAGTTTTGCGGAATTGAAAAGCACAACGAGAAATTTTAGACCAGATACAATATGGGGGGAAGGAGGATTTGGTAGAGTTTTCGAAGGTTGGGTTGATAACAAGACATTAGCTCCTTCTAAAGTTGGCATCGGAATGGCAGTTGCTGTCAAAAAATCTAATCAAATAGCCTGCAAAGTCTCAAGGAATGGCAGTAAAAATTTAAGTTATATATACGGACAGTTGAAAAACTTGTTGGAGAAAGTTGATCATATATTTCAACAGTGAAAATGTTATAAAAATTGAACACATTTTTATGATTGTGTGTGCAGGCAGAGGTAAAATTTCTGGGAAAATTTAGTCATCCAAATCTAGTACAACTAATCGGATACTGCTGGGAAGAGAAGCAATTCCTACTTGTATATGAATACATGCAAAAAGGAAGTTTAGAAAATCACCTTTTCAGAAGTAAGAACCTATATATATATATTTTTTTTTATCCACATATTTGTTACAGAATATTTGATAATTACAAGAATATGTTATCAAAAAGTTTGACACAAATATTATTGTCGGAAAACTAGAAGAGGGTGCAGAAACACTTTCGTGGGACACAAGACTTAAGATAGTAATAGGAGCAGCTCGAGGTCTAGCTTTTTTGCACACAACAGAGAAGCAAGTCATTTACCGCGATTTTAAAGCTGCCAATATTTTATTGGATGGGGTAATTTCTTTTTCTCTTATTTGTTTAAAAGTTCAATAGTAACTTATTAATTTTCTTGTTTTGAATTTCAACTTTTAATTTACGAATTATACTGTATAATTAACAAAGAGATTAATTGTTCCATATTAATTACTTGGGGCAGGATTATAATGCCAAGCTTTCTGATTTTGGATTGGCTAAGTTGGGTCCTGCAAATGGCAACTCACATGTGACCACAGGAGTTGTTGGTACTTATGGGTATGCAGCTCCAGAGTACATGGCCTCTGGTAATTTTTACCCTCTTACTACTTCTACCTCTTAGCTAAACATATGATCCCACAAGTGGGGTCTGAAAAAGGATTGAGTGTACGCAATCTTATCCCTCCCTAACTTGTATGAGATAAAGGGACTATTTCCAACAAAAAAAAAAAACGTTTTCAAAACAACTACTAAAATGTAGTACCAAAATCTACATTTTTATAGTCAAATTGCCTAGTGTATAGAACAATATTACTTAAGTGCATGATTCGAAGCTCATTAAAAGTTTTTCTCTTTTGATTTTATTTTTCTTATTCATGAACCACCCCTTCTTCATTAAAGAAAAAATTTAGAAAATGGGGCTAAATCAACAAGTTATGGGGAGATTGGTTTTATGACTCATTAGAAGTGTTGTTTAGTTAATGACCTTTTTTGACAAGAAATATGAGAGATCGATAAATAAATAGGAAATCTTGTATGATCATTTTATTTTAACTTGTAATTGGTCATAGAAGACGTTTCCTCCTCTTTAACTCTTTTATGTGGGTGCTATATGAGCAAGACCAATTTTAGCCCCAAATAAAAAACAATAATACAACGTAAGCTCAACATGTTTGCGATAATTATTCAAACAGTCGTTGACCTTGTGCTACTTTATTTGGAACAGGACATTTATACGTGAAGAGTGATGTGTATGGTTTTGGCGTTGTATTGCTGGAGATCTTAACGGGCCTCCGGGTACTGGACCTGAACCGGCCCAATGGAGAACAAAATCTAGTGGACTGGGCCGAACCGTTATTACCAGACAAGAAGAAGCTAAGGAAACTAATGGACCCAAGGCTAGAGGGAAAGTACCCTACAAAGGCTGCATTTGAAATAGCACAACTAGTACTCCAATGTCTTGAGCCTGATCCTAAAACTAGACCTTCCATTGAACAAGTTTTGGAGTCTTTGGAAAAAATTAACACCATCAAGAAGAAACCTAGAGAATGCAATGCCACCCACAACGTTCGCCTCTCCACGTTAAGAAAACTGTAATTGGTAGCAACACGCACCATTCACCCATCAATCGAAGCTATTGAAGACGACCTGGCGTGTAAATATATATTTCTAAAGAATTTTCTAAATTACAACATCGTTATAGCAGGATAGCATTATCTTTCATTTTTCTTCTCATGATTTGCCCTTTTAAGTTACACTTTGCCTTTTATTACTTGAGGGTCATGTTTCCCTTTTTATTACTTGAGGGAAAACAAATAACCTTTGGGAAAAAATTATTGTCAAAGTACTCATTACTCAACCTCACTTCTCCTCCCCCTTTTACCTTCTTGCCCTCTTCTCTATGTAAGGCAATCTTAATTAAGTAAGATCTAATGGGTAGGCAAGTAATACTGAACAGAAGCGCAGAGTAGCACCAAAATGAGCAAGTATGACATAATTTTGGCACAAAAACTTGAAAGTGTGAAACAAGGTAACATAGAAAGAAGATGACCGCAATACTTGAACATACATCTGGACCTTATTCAAGTGCAACATATATTGTGTCGAAGTAAACACAAGATATCGAAGTTTGGTACAAACAGAACATAAAAAAAACAGTACACTTTATAGCACAACAAACAAACGTAATGTTTTTCTTGGTTTAGTATGCAACTTGAAACGTTTTCCCAGTAGCGTTTTCATCTTAGCTTCATCACATTGTAGGCTTTACAGTGAGACGAGAAGCGACCTTCTGACCACAAGACTTGTCAGCCTGCAATGAATCCGCGCAAAAGATTAGTTTTCGTTTCCCGCTCTTAATGTAAGGATAAAGAATCATGCGAAAGAAGAAAAACTCAAACCTGAGACAAGTATGATATCCATATACTGCGTATCTCATAAGTGACTCGGGGATCAGATAAATGCTCAACCCATTTGCTAACATATCTGTCTTGCCTGAAATAGTACAAGTACTCAATTATTCTGCAGGTTCTTGAGAGAGGGAAGAATTGGCGATATTAATGTTATAGAACAACCAAATTAAATTACCTGTCAGGTTCCCAGGATCTGTATCTCTCTCCTGCCTGCTTGAAGTTGTTCTCTTTTTCAATGACACACTAAAACACCAATAATATATATGTGAGTGAAGATTAAACTCATTTAAGAATACAACTCCCTGCACTGATTAATGATTATGATGAACAATAAGTAAAGAGGGTCTCACCATTTCACGCCTTCCTGTCAAGACACGAGAAGGAATTGGGTACTGTTCGGCATGACGACAAGGATCAAACCTTGAGGGCAAATAATCCACCTGCAACATCAAGTCACAACATCAGAAGAGTACTAATATGAACTTGCAATTAGCCTTGGTAAGTCAAAAACATTAGTATACCTCTTCATCGCGATGCATGAAGTTCATAGCACCATCGCGGTGATTATTGTGATGAGCACACTTGGGAGCATTAACAGGAAGCTGCATATAGTTTGGTCCAATGCGGTGTCTCTGAGTATCAGCATACGCGAATATCCTGGTCTGGAGAAGCTTATCCTCCGAATAGTAAACACCAGGGACAATATGGCCAGGGTTAAACGCGAGCTGCTCATTCTCAGCGAAGAAGTTATCAATGTTCCTATTCAATACCAATCGACCAACTGGCATCAATGGCAAGATATCCTCAGGCCAGGTCTTGGTTACATCAAGAGGATCAAAGTCGAATTTGTCTACATCCTCAGTATCCATAATTTGGATAAAAAGTTTCCACTCGGGATAGTTTCCAGCAGCAATCGAGTCGTAGAGATCCTTGGTGGCGTGGCTATGATTTGTACCTCCGACCCTAATAGCTTCTTCCTCCGACATGCACTTAACACCACAAGTTGGCTTCCAGTGAAATTTCACATAATGTGCTTTCCCAGCCTTGTTTATTAATTGATAGGCGTGAACACCATACCCTTCCATGTGTCTGTAATCTGTCGGGAGACAAACATCATCGAAGAACCAAGCGAAAGTATGCAAACTCTCCGGAAGGAAAGAGAAGAAATCAAGGATCCTCCAGTATTCCTGAATGTGTGACTTTGGATTTGGTTTCAGTGCACGAATCGTGTCAGGGAACGATTTTGCATCACGATTAAAGAAGACGGGAACGTTGTTTCCAACCAGATCAAAGTTACCCTGATTCATAAAAACAAGTAAAGATACAGAAGTAAATTAAGAAAATACAATTCCAAGAAAGCAGTAAGTTGATGTGATAAGGCAAATTACCTCTCTGGTGTAAAATTTGACAGCAAAACCGCGAATGTCCCTAAGGGACTCGGGGCTTCCACGCTCATGGACGACAGTAGAGAAGCGGCAAATAACAGGTGTTTGAACACCAGGAGCTCGGAGAAAATCAGCACAGGTAAGATGAGAAATATCATGAGTGACTTCAAAGAAACCCTTGGCACTGGCACCTCTAGCGTGAACAACACGCTCGGGTATCCGCTCACGATCAAAAGTCGCAAGCTTCTCTATTAAGTGATAATCCTCAAGAAGAACAGGCCCTGCCAAAAATATATACGCAATTTTCAATTTCAATGAACGTATTTAATTTGAAGACTCTTAAGTTAAGCTACAAAATAGAACTAATTAAGAGCATTAAGATATCTACGAATGTTCAACTACTAGAATCACTTAAGAACATCTACATAGCGGTTCCTATTTTGTGTTGATCTCATAAAAACATAAATTGTTAAAACGGAGGATTTCTCTTGAATGGAAAATATGAAGAGTTACTTAAAACTTTATTCAGGTTTATTACAGCAGAAACATAAGAATATTTAAGAAGACTAGAGTGTGAAAAGATGTGATCTATTACTTTCCATCATGTATTGTTGCCTTCTATCATCTTTCATCTATAAAACATCTAAGTTTTCCCATAATTCTCTTACATTTTCTATGTTGACCATCATTATGGAGTATCAAATTAAACAAAACATGTCTTAAGATTCTAACAAATAGGCGATCACAATTTCCATGAGTTTAACCCATAAAAAGCAACCATCGTTAAGTGAAAGACATGTTGATGTGTCAAAAGTAGTGGTATTTCTAACAAGAGTTTTATCTTGTAAATATATTGATGAACACACGGAAACAGTAGTACTAAAGCAACTCAAATGTCTTGTTCTAAAATTAGATCTATACAGTTCTTTATGTGGATCATTAAAAAGCTGCATTTCATACTAAGTAGAAACCTTAATTAACAGGAATATAAAGTTTAGAAAAGAAAAAAAATGATTAAAAAGATAAAAACCTCTAGGTCCAACGGTCAAGGAAGAAACGTTGTTGTAGACAGGACCACCAGCATTTGTTGTCAAGAAAGGGGAATCATATGCGCTTGATGGTCGAAACTGCATCATTATTTTTTCAAATCAAATCCAACATAATATTCATATAATTAACCAATGAAGATCCGCTAAAAGTAATCACAAGTTGAGCTTTGACAATTTTCAAAGCCTTCAAAAAACAAAATTAATTAATACAAACAAATGATTCCTTCTGAGTGTATCCTATATGATCCATGCAACAGTCTGACATACACAAAGATCCAAAGCCTAGATCCATGGGAGGCGGAGCTAGGGACTCAAGGTTCTGAATTTTAGAACGATGACTTAAAGTGTTCTGAATTTTAAATCGTATTTATACATATTTAATTATTTCTTAACACAAATACACTAGTTGATTAGATATTATTGGATTCGATCGAATCCAAAGCTCTGGTTCTACCTAAGCCCCTGAGACCCATCATGGCCTTGTCTATGGCGTTTCTAGTGGAGCCTTCAAAATTAAATATATATGTGTGAAAAATAATTTTTAACCTATATACATAGTATTATTTTTTGAATATTGACCACATTCACAATATGTGGCTCCGTTACTGTATATGCTGCCATTTCTCAGCCCAAAGAAGGGTATTTTACGATGTCTTCAACCAGTGGCGGAGCCACATACACTCTTCGCCGTAAAATTAAACTGTATAACTCGATAAATTATTTTAAAATATATATATATTATACAATAACATCTCTTACTTCATGATGAGTTTGTTTCTTTATATTTTTATTTTCTTTAACGAAAATCTTGAATCAGTCACTATCTTCAACTCTCAAAGATCGGTGGCCAAGTGAGCCGATCAAGTGTCCGAGGCTTTCCGACAGCTACAGACAGTTTGTTTAACTAGTTGTTTTTGTTCTCTTTCTTTTCTCTCTTTATGGGCTGGTTTAGTGGCTGAGTATTAAGGGCCATGAGCACCTGAAGGCGTGAGAACACGTGAGAAGATTACACGAGAAATTAATTTATCAGATGTGTCGGTGAAGTTTTGTCTTAGAAATTTCTTTTGAAGGAATTTGAGGATTTGATTTTCCTTTTAAATAAATCCTTTTTAATAAGATACGCATAAATTAGTAACGAAATGAAAAATTAGAATATGTATATTTTTCGTGCAGTCTATTTGTTCAAAATATTATTTTTCAAATGACTTTTTCCCAAGTTGTTCGAATGACTAATTAGAGGGTGTCTGGCCGTGACTTCACTCAGCAGATACTGAAGTTATTACTGGCAAGTTAAAGTTTGGAAATCAGTATTTCCATATTGAACTTAATTATGTATTAGAAATATATTGAGGAGTATTTAATTATGTATTACAATTTACAAAACTTCAATCTTTAAGTGTATCACCTTAACCGGGTGTTTAAGAAGCAAACTACAAAACGGAAAAGCTTATACCAAGATTACCAAAGATTTATCAATCCAAATGATAATACGAATCAAATAGCACAAGAACTAAGAAAACAAAGCATCAATAAAAGCTTTGTATTCAAAATATTGATATACCTTAGAGAGATCCATACTGATCGAAACGAGAGGAGAAATTAGGAGAAGAATTGAAGAGAGACTTGATCAAAATATATATTTTTTGGTTGGAGTGTGCTGAGAGTGAGAAAGAGCAACTTATTTATAAGCTGTGGAGGGCACTTAGGTAAAATGTTGATACACGTAAAGACCTCATAATGTAAATTTCTGGTATATGTTCTTTCAAACTAAATTATTTTTCAATAATAGATGATACTGTTCAAATGGATAAGATTTAGTACATATAATAGTTGTAAGCTAATAAAACTAGAGCACACTCATATATAGCATTTTAAAATATTGTATTTCTTGATTTTTTTTTTTTTTTAAAAGAAAAAAAGAAGAGAAAATAGATAATATGTGCCAGCTAGCTTACAAATTACCGGTTATTCATTTACGTGAATTCAATAGTTTTTGCTCAGACTCTGTATATATATTAAGTAATTTATTAAATTATTATATATATTTAATTATAGACTCAATTATAATTATATACTAACTTAGGTCATATCTATAAATTTCAAATATAAATTCGCCGATGAATACCCAAAAACTAGAAGAAGAAAAAAAGAAACTTAGTCAATTTTGGCTACCAGAATCACCATCTAGGTGACTATGATGTGTTAGCTTCTTAGCTAGTACTATTTTGATGATGGTAATTTCTTTAGGAACTTCTAGCTAGGTTAAAATTAAACCTTATACTCCTGTCATATTGTACATTGTTTACCCGAAAAATCGGATAACG